TGGTCAAGAGGAATTCGCCGTCGTCTTCTGGTGGAACCGACCTTCGAATCTCTTCACCCAACACTTCCACCCGAAACGGTAGTAAGCTCAACAATTGTGAATTCTTGGCCTCGAGACCAGCTGCAAACAGCTCTTGAAGCTGAGGAGCAGTTTCAGCCCATCTGCCTGACACGTCGGTAGCCCTCCGGCGCCCCTTCACCCTCTTCCAGGACTTCCCGGAAGTGGCCATCTGGGCCGGGTTTTGGGATAACCGAATCTGCAAGCGATAGGCCTGAAAGCCAGCCAATAAGTGACCGTGTGCATGAAGGAACAAGAGTAAGTGGATAATGGCTTTGGCGGCAAAAGAAAGAGAGAGAGAGGCTAACGGAAGGAGGAGAGAACAGAGGGAAGAGACGCTAGCAACTCAATCCGTAGGCCAACAGAAGGCGGTGGAGGGAAGAGGGGTAGAGGCAAGTGTACCAAGGGAGGAGGCTGGAGTGTGGCCACTCTGCGGTCGTCTGGTTCGACATTCGAAGCCTAACTCTTACACGAGGCAGGAGAGGAGGAGAGAGAGGTCGAAGAGGAGGATGAGTGCGGAGGAGAAGGAAGAGTTTGCAAAAGCTGGATCGACGGCATCATCCTTTTGTGGTAAAGTGACTCAATCTAAGAGCCTCGACCGCAGAGACATTAAACGGCGCCGGAACGTGTCTCTCCCACTTTGTGAATTTCATCAATAATTCACTATCCCTGAGTAGTGTTGACACACATTAAGCTGGTTTATTATAATAGTTTCACAATTTTTCTCTTGAGTACACGTTTGAGTAGTGTTAATAACTTAAATGTCGTAAATTCCAGTTGCTATCACTGAAATATGTTTAAAGGCTATTTCTTGAGTGGTGCTTCTTAAATTGCATTTACATTTTGATTGCTATACTCCTGTTTAGATGTGCTTGCTACGCCAAATAGGAGGATTTATGGGTGGAAGTTTTGAGTAGTTTTCGCGTTTAATTGGAATCTCTAGTTTCAACTGTGATCACTACACTCATTTCAAAGATTAAGTCATGAGTAGTCTTTTTAGTAGTGTCGTCACCTCGATCGATATATTTCACATTCAGTTTAGTCCACTACGCAAGTGATTTAAGTAGTGTTTTCTACGCCTTCTGGTGTATTCTACATACTATTTCAATGGTTTTAGTTTTAGAACTGTTTTGATTTGTGTCGACACCTTTACTGTTGTCCATACGTCCTTCTATGTAGATTTGTTATTTGTGTTTAAATTAGTGTTTAAATTGTGTTTTTTATTAGGGGGACCTTCGTTTCGAATGAAAGTGCATGAAGAAGAAATTCACCACATGAGAACGGATGAACCTTGTTGTACCGTTTGGTTTTTATACGATTTTCATGTTGACACCTCCCTCGTTTCGGGTGAAAACGTGCTGAGTTTTCGTCCATCAAATGATGGACATCATCAGAGCTGAGTGTCATTCTTGTAAATCTCGCGTTAACACTAAAGCAAGAACACTATCCGGCTCTATCTTACTTCTTATTTAGACTCAATCGAGTCGAAAAATTAAAAATTAAAAACCTAGAGAGATAGATATAAGTGGTTTGGTTAATTTTCTTTCATACTGGTTCTGTTATTTTTGCTCGATTGTATGAGTATGTATATTTGTGTGTGTTAGCGTCTATATGCAATGTGATTCCTAAATCAGAGTTGTCAAAGGTTCAATCTCAGGTTCTGATCCTCAAGACTGAATGACCCAAGAGAAAATCTTTGACCGAGACTGCCTAGGTCCGTAAATAAGTATGGTTGAGATAATGAAAAATGAGTTTGTAAGCATGATAATCAAGTTACGAAACCATTTGTCTTAACCTTTCCGTGAAGGGTCATTAACTTTTAACCATCCAAGGAAAGACAAGACTGGGGTTGCGTAATCGGACATGTCTGGTATGTTTGAAGAGCTTACTCTAACATTTTGGGCGAATGTGAGTGAAATTAGAACCATCACTGAACAGACAAATTGAGTCGCTTTCTTTTTGAAGGTGGTTCAACGAGATTCATCCGTCCTCCTCTGGTGAGATCGACCAACGAATCTCTTCTTCATGCACTTTCATTCGAAACCAAGATCACCCTAACAATGTTATCTCAGGAGATTGATCGAAACCAAGTGTCTCTTGGTATCTAAATTTTTATTGTTACCTCCCATTCAACTTTGGTCACTACACTTATTTTAAAAGTGCAGTTAATAGGAAAAGTATCTGCAATTCGATGATCTCTTGGGAAAGCATTGTTGTTGAGATTTTCATTTCGCATGAAGGTGCAGGATGAAATCATCACCACATGACAGTGGTTCGGCTTTACTTCGACGTTCAAATTGGCGCCGTCGATTCATCATGTTCTAGCGTTAACTTGAGACTTTTCAAAGAATGAGTTCCAGCTCAGATGATGTCCATCATACGGCAGACAAAAGCCTATCCCTGTTTTACCCGAAAAGAGGGAAAATTTCGTACCAAAGTCCTACGGTTACATAACAACGGTAATCGACCCTGGTCATCTGGTAAATCAACCAACCAGCCTCTTTATCATGCACCCGCATACAAACTGTAAGTTTGCACAGCTATGTTGAAAGGTTCGTTTTGATTAGTATTTGAGTAGTGTTGACATTTGGGTTGCTATACCAAAGTTCAGCTCTTTCTAGTATACTTATTTCAATAAGCGTATTTTGAGTAATGTTGAAAATTGTAATTGCTTTCTGCAATT